GCCAGGAATTTGACAAGCCTCGCATCCTCCATGACCACCTGTCCCAAGGCTGCCTCTAAAGCGGCCTGGCCCAGCTCTTAGGCCAATGCCTCTTTCCCGCACTGGGTGGTCGCAGCAAAGGTGCGGAAAGGCGGCTGCCCCCAGATGCCAGGAACCCAGGGGGTCCCCTTTTCCCTGGAGAAACCCTTAGGCTGAAGATAGCTGTCACACACACACACGCACACGCCTTGAGCCCACTTCCCACGCCCTCGAAATCAACTCAGGCCCGAGTAGGGGCTCAGGTCACCCATGTGGAGCTTGGACTCTGCCCCCCATTTTTCTCCCCCCGGGAGACTCCAACTGCACCCAGGGCTCTGCCGCACAGAATTCAGTACTTTCCCCTCCCTGCCCACAGCACCTGCAAATATAAATCCTATCCTCGTCAGCCTAGATTTTTCCAAAAGCGGGGGCTGGATGGGGAAGGAAGGGGATTTTCCCTTGGGGTTGGAAGGGAGAGTTGTCACAGCAGTTTGGAGAAGCGTTAGAAGTGGAGGAGAAGAGTGAAGGATAACAGAGGGTGTTAATAAGCCTGTGCCAGGCTGTGCCCAGCTGACCTGGGCTGTAGTTACTCCTCACGAGCTCCACCACCCACCAGCTGTGTGACCTTTGGCAAAGTACATAACCTCTCTGAGTCCCCTTAAAGTAGCGAACTGTCACTATTATCGTTCAAGGTGTAAGTCTCCCCGAATGACCGGTGAAGAAATGTGTGCAGGGAAATGAGATGACGAGGCCGAGGTCACACGGCTGCTAATGGCAGACGGGACGCGAATCCAGATCTTTCGTCTCTGAGGCCCCTGCACCAGCTATGGGCTCCCTGCCGTTGAAGGAGTCGTGGGGGAGAGCCCCGTGTGACAGCTCAGATTCAGACTCTCAGGATTCCCACCTGCTTGATGAAGAGATGGACCCAGATGATTTCCAGACGGTGTTCAAAGGAGATCGTGTTTGTAACAGATAACACGAGTTGCCCCAATACTCACTCTCTCCTCTTTCCATCACAGAAGAGCTTGGGGGCGTTGGTGGTATAGTGACCAGGACAGCTGCCTTCCATAAAAGAGCCTGAGGGGCGCCTGGGTGGCTCAGTGGGTTGAGCGCCTGACTTCCGCTCAGGTCGTGATCTCACGAGTTGGTGAGTTCAAGCCCCACATCAGGCCTTGCCCTGAAGGGGTAGAGCCCGCTTCGGATTCTCTGCATCCCCGCCCCCCGCCCCTAAAATAAACGCTAAAAACAAAAAAAAAAATTTTAATAAAGATAATAATAAAAGAGCTTGAGCTGGGCACAGGGCCACCCAGCTGAAGACCTCTCCTGGGGTGCTCTCCCGGTGAAGTGGGGTCACGTGACTAAGTGTTAACCAATGAGACGCGCGTTTACGTGTCTCGTGCTGCTCTGTTTCTAGGAGTGCGCGTGGGGTCCCAAGGCAGATTGTAGCAAAAATGACCACAGAAATACCTCCTATCCCGTGTGTAGTTCTACAATGGGGTCCGTGTCCCCTCTTCTCGAATGCGGGCGGGCCTGTGACCGCTTTGACCAACAGAGTTGGAAAGGTGATATGTGGCTTGTGAGGCCAGGTCATAAAAGACAGTCGTTTATGGGTTGAATGGTGTCCCCACCCCCAAATTCGTGTGTCAAAATCCTAACTCCCGGTACTTCAGGATGCAACCTTATTTGGAAATAGGGTCATTGCAGATGTGACTAATTAAGGTGAGGTCAGACCGGAGCAGGGTGGACCCCTATTCTGTTATGACTGCTGTGTTGTTGTTTTCTTCTAAATTTTTTTTTAACATTTATTTATTTTTGAGAGACAGAGAAACAGAGTGTGAGCAGGGGAGGGGCCGGGAGAGAGGGAGACAGAGAATCCGAAGCAGGCTCCAGGCTCTGAGCTGTCAGCACAGAGCCCGATGCGGGGCTCGAACCCACGTACCGTGAGATCGTGACCTGAGCCAAAGTCAGATGCCCCACCAACTAAGCCACCGAGGCACCCCAGCTGCTGTGTTTAAATAAAAGGGTGATTTGGACACAGAAACAGATGTGCAGAGAGGGAAGACGAGGTGGAGAAATAGAGAAACTGTCTACAAGCCACAGAGAGAGGCCTGGAACAGACCCTTCCCTCACAGCCCTGCCAAAGCCTTGGTTCCAGACTTCCCAGCTCCAGAACTGCTGGGAAACCACCCGGTTTGTGGTCTTTTGTCACAGCAGCCCCAGGAATCCCCAGTCACTGGATCCTCCTGGATCCTCCTGGAGCACTCACCCTGGGGGAGCCAGCTACCGTGTAGGTCCCACTCCCCCGTCAATATCGTGCAGGTGCGGGGTCAGCAGACCCAGCCGAGCCCCCAGCCAGCAGCCAGCAGTGGCCACGCGAGGAAGCCTTCTTGGGCATCAGCCACAGGGGTGCCCTCAACCGACCGCAGCCCCAGCCAGCCTCTGACTGTCATTGCGTGAAACATTCCAAGTGGCGGGTGCCGAGCGGAGCCCTTTCCAAGCCTGGCCCACAAAAGCATGAGTGAAAGGAAAGGGTGTTTGAGACTGCTAAGTCTGAGGGTCACTGTGACACAGCAGAGTGACAGCACGCCTGCACTTTCCCTTTCCCTCCATTCCCACTGACTGGAACACAGAGGGGGTGAGGGGCCATCTTCAGTCATGTAGAGGAGGGCATTGGGATGCCACAAAATAGGACCCTGGGCTTCGGGATGTCCTCGGGGAAGGGAGCTGCTGACTCCCCAGATGCCACTTAAATTTTATATAAAAGAGAAAGAAACTTCTGGGGCGCCCGGGTGGCTCAGTTAGTTAAGCGGCCAACTTCAGCTCAGGTCATGATCTCACGGTTCGTGAGTTCGAGCCCCGCGTCGGGCTCTGGGCTAACAGCTCGGAGCCTGGAGCCTGCGTCGGATTCTGTGTCTCCCTCTCTCTCTGCCCACCCCCCGCCCCTGTTCATACTTTCTCTCTCTCTCTCTCTCTCTCTCTCTCTCTCTTTCAAAAATTAATAAAACAGTAAAAATTAAAAAAAAAAAAAAAAGAGGAAAGAAATTTCTGTCTTGTTCAAGCCACTGCTGATTCTCCCTCTATTTAAAAAGCCAAATCAATATTCTAGCAATACAGTGTGCGTAAGACAAATAGCTCGGTGCTAGAGCACGTAAGTGCTTCTCTCAGAAGGTAGCTATTATTGTCACCATTCATATCACATCTAAGGCCCCTCCGGCTGCCACATGGGTGGGGTCTGGTTAATCCACCGGTTCAATACTCCAAGGGAACAGGTGCACCCCTGTCACTGGCGGTCAACCAGACATGTCAAACTGAAACGGTCTGTGGTCGCACATAATTCACAGCAGGGGTCTCTTCCCTCAGCCTCAAACTGACCGCCAGGCAGGCCGCCAGCCAGGCGACCATGGACACCGACGCAGGCGCGCACCGTCCCGCTCCTCTGACAACACAGAATGAACCAAAGCTCCTGGCAGCCATTCTGTGTTCCCACCCCTCCTCTCCTGGTGCGGAGGGAGTGGGATGGGAGGAGGGAAGAGGGGGGCAAAATGACACGGGAAGCGGCTAGCGGCTAGTGACAGGGCAGTAGGGAGACGGAACCAGAGACGCTAACTCTACCCCCGAGAAATCAGGAGAGGCTTCTGGGAGGAGGTGAATACTACCCGGAAGCTGATTTCCAGACCTTTCCCTGCAGGCAGGAGAGTGGCCTGGACAAAGGCTTGGAGCATCTGAGTCCGCATCGCTTGCGATGTGCACCAGGCCCCGGGCCTGCCTTCACTTCACCCTTCCGGCTCCACTCGAGGCAGCAGCACAGAAGAGGAGAGAGTCAGAGCCCTGGCCCCCTAGGATCTTCTCTCCTCCCATAGCCACCTACGTGCAAATAGTCCTGCGAGACCCCTACCTGCGAAGTGACGCACGCAGCCTTCCCGACCTTCTGACCCTCACTGGGTCTGGGGTTTGGGCTTCAATCCAATGCTCCGCCACACCCCCACCCCCAGCTCCCTGCCTTGGGCTTGTCCGTGTCCTGCTGCCCCAGAGGCCCAGGTGAGAACCCACAGATGGAGGAGGCTGTGTTTGAGCGGGCAGACATAGGCCTGTCCTTCAGGGGTTCCTCAGACTTAGCAGGGAGACCGGGCACAGCAACATGGACAGAACAGAGCAGCGGCCATGAGAGCTGGGCTGCCTCAGAGGGAAGTGTGCAGATCAGGGACAATCAGGAAGGCTTCCTGGACGAAAGGGGCTGGGAAGGAAGGGTATCAGGGAAGATCAGCCTGCAGGCAAGGTCTGGGATTCTTCTGTCATCCGTACGTACAGAGTGGTCAGGGACTTGGGTCAGACTCCAGTTCAGACGTCCCAAGCGCCTTCAGCCTTCAGTGTCCAGTCTAGAGAAGGGCGGGGTGGGGGGCAGCACGGGAGGGTGTCCCCATAGCCTTGTCACTAGGAAAGCACAGTTAGTGACTTAGCCATGGAGTGGGAATTCAGTAACGTGGGGGAGGGCACTGCTAAGGGAAGGGCACCCTCCACACTCCCACTGCCCCTCGTGCCCAGGGAATGGGAGATGTGAGAAGTGACCCCTCCCCCTAGCACACATACACCCACCTCAACCCCGCCCCCTGCCCCATGACTTCCTCCACAGTCCCATCTTGGATCCCATCTCTGCTCCCAGCCACTCTCCTAGGCTGCCTTGCCGGCTCCCTTCCACCCCAGCCCCCCATCCTGTCCCAGCTCTCCTTCCGGCTCCTCCCTGCCCCTTGTCAGGAACTTTCATCCTGCCCCACTTCCAACCCAACAGGAGAGCGCCACCGAGGCCCCTTGCTTGGGCCACAGTATCTTCTCTTAGCTCAGAGCCCAGGGGAGCTCCCAGCCCTGTCCTGGGAAGTCTTTTGTCTGGGGCGCCCAGTCTTCTCCGATCCTTCCACCCTCCCCTCCCCCCCACCCCGGATGCCACCTCCACGAAGGAGAAGGGAAAGGAAATACGCACACATCCGTTTCAGTGAAATTTGCTCTTTATTTGGGGACCAGGGAAAGACCACACACAGCCCTCCAGCCCAGGGGCCGGGGGCACGGAGAAATGGGATGAAGACCCCATCCAGCACCCCCACCCCCTCCCAGGCACAGTAGGCAGCGAGAGGAACCCAGGTTCCGGGGTCAGGAGCACACATGCAAACGAGGTCGGTGCAGTCGGCGCGTCTCCCAGGAGGCTTTGGGGTCGTCACCACATGTACGCGCCTTCTGGCCTGTAGGACCGAAAGGAAAGGAATCGCCCAGAGCCGGCCTCGGATCCAGGCGTGAGAACGCCAGGTGGTGGGGCCAGGGTGGGGGCTCCGTGGGGCCGCACATCCCAGACCGAGCACTAGGGGACAAGACGGGTGGCCGGGGGGGGGGGGGCGCTTTTACCGTGACTTGACCTGGCGGTCCTCGCCGTCGGGGAAGAGCAGTTTCGAGAGGACCGCTTCCGGGCTGTCTCGTTTCCCGTACCTGGGGGCGGGGGTCGGAGGGGGCGGGGTCAGGCGCGGGCACGCCCCCGGGCGGAGGGGGAGGCGGAGGGGGAGGCGGGGGCGGGGGCGGGAGCCCCAGGGACCCGGCTCCGAGGCCGGCGCACGCGCTCACCGCTGCCGAGTGACCAGGTTGAGGTAGTGGCGCAGCGACGCGTAGTAGCGGCTCAGCTCTTCCGGCGACGCGTCTTCGCCGGGAGCCTCGGGTTTGGCGGGGTAGGCGTGGACCAGCGCCCCCAGGCAGGCGAGCAGGGCCAGCAGCACTGTGGCCACGGCGGGCCACGGCCGGCGCACGGTCACCATCTGGAGAGGGGGCAGTGGGTCGTGGGCCATCCCCCGCCTCGACACCCGACGGCGGGAGGCGGCCTGCCGTCGGGGCCCACGTTTCCCGGCCTGTGCAGGACCGCCAACGGACCGAGGCTCAGCTGCTGGCTCGCCGTGTGTTCTGCGGCACTGCCCCGTCTGTGCCTCAGTTTCCCTGTCAGGGAGGCATAAGCCCTGCCGGCCTCCCCAACCCCCGCCCGTGCTAGAGATAAAGGGCTATGCTGGCCACTCAGCCCCAGTTTCCACCATCCCAGGCTCAGTTTCCCCACAAAATAGCCCGGGTTCCCCGGCAACAGGCCATTCCTGGTCCCGGGCCACTCACGGCGACAGTTCTGGAAGCGGAGATGAGCAGGTGGAAGGCGAGAGGAGTCCCAAGGGCTGGACTGCTGCAGGTCGGGCTGTGGCCTCCTCCTCTGCTCAGCGCTTTCCCTGCGGGGCTTATATCCCCGGCCTGGGAAGGGAGGGGGAGTCCGAGGAGGGGGGGGGAGCTCGAGGCGTGGGGAAGGCCCTTCCTCCTCCTTGCCTCCACCCCTGCCAGACCGCTGAGCTTCCACCCAGACAGTGCGTGATGTCTCCACCTTGTAGGAGATGAGGGGGCAGGCGCCAGGCTCAAACTCAGACTCTGGACAGAGCCTGAGCCCCATCTTCACCCCACAGCCCCCCAACAGCAGGTGTAGCCTCCTGAGGAGGTGAAGCGTTTGTATCTAGACTCCTGGGGCAGCCCCTAAGGCCAGGGATGAGATTGTATCTTCCCTAGCCTGCCCATGGGTGGGAATAAGGGACACAGACCGGACCCTTGACCTCCAGCCAGTGGGACCTGTGACCATTCCGTGGAAAAGGCAACCTCGCTCAGCAATACTTTGGAGAGGGGCTGAGGAGTGGCAGGATCTGTGGGGAAAGCCTCTTTCTACTGGAGGTGGGGTAGGAGCCATGACCATGACTCTTGACCTTTATGATCCTGGAGGAGAGGCCTCTCTGGACACCCCACCGTGTCCCTTCTCTGGGAAAGAGTTGGGAAGAGTTGAGAGGAGGCAGAGGCCAGTCCTCCCCCAGAAGCAGCTGAGTCTGACACCTGCACATCCAGCCTGACACACACAGACCCCACCCCCACCCCGGCCCGAGCAGGCCTGGCACAGAGATCCCCTCCAAAGCACCATCCAGGTGTTATCCAGGCTCTGCTGTCTTCTCAGGTTGAGTGATGCCCATGCACGTGCCACTCTCCCCAGCCCGTTGCCGTCTCCACCGGGGTCTGAGGCCGAGATCCTCACCCAGGGCCTTTGAAAGAAAGAGGAAGGGCCCACTGTTTATCAGGCACCTACTGTGCACTGCGCAGAACAGGCTTTCAGCGCGACGACACAATGAGCTGAGTTTATCCCCGTTTTTACAGATGAGGAAACTGAAGCTCTGAGAGAGGAGGGAACCCAGGATGCAAACAAGAGGAAAGGGCTGGGGCAGGGCCCTCTCGGCCGAGGGGCGGAAAGGCTCACTACCCGGAATGATCAACCACAGGGCTCAGAAGGTGGGCATGGGGGAAGGGGAGGGGAGGCTAATTTGGGGGCCTGCTCCCCTTTCGGAGAGGCCAGCCGCATCGGACCTACCTGCCCCCATTGGAAAAAGGGGGTTGTTGGGGAGTCTCTCCATAAAGCCCTTTCCAGGTCTCCCCTCCCCCATCTGGCCAGAGCCCCCAGTGCTTCCCTCTGTCCCATCGGACCCTGAGGGCAGGAGGGGCCATCTTGGTTGTGGGCCAGCCCCTCCGCCCTCTAGGACAGATGGCCGTGGGTGTTATTTTTAGAGCTCTCTCAAGGTGGAGAGTCTAAGGCTCCCTCAATCATCTTTTTACAGGTTCAATCACCTGCACTCTCCGGAAATGGCTCCTTATCAACTAGTCAGGCCCCATGGGCCCCCCGCACACCCTAAGAAAGGCCAGGGCAGCACGCTGAGTGTGGAGGCGGAAGAGGGCATAGACCTTATACTCAGAGGGAGGAGAAAAATCATTCACCCCAAGGGCAGGTCTTGGCCCTGTTCTCCAGGAACCCCAGTCTCAGAGGAGAATCATAGCCATACCCTTGGGGATCCCCAGTCCGAGGGGAGGGGAGCAGCAGTATCACTGGGGAGCCCCAGACCAAGGGAGGAGGCACTCCACGATCCACGTAGAGCCCCAGTCTGGAGAGTTCCCAGGACACAGGGACAGGGAGGAAAACAGAGGGATAAGCCTGTGTCCAGTTGGGGGAGCGGACAGCAAAAATAAAAGAACACTCTTCCAGATGGCCATGGAAAGAAAGAGGCAGGTGCTCACCCTTGGGATGGAAAGGACAGCCAGGGGGGCTGGTTACGGCAGCTGTAACCCAGGGGTCAGAGCCTGGACAAGACCCTACGGGCTAAAGGGGACAAGGATATCTGAGAGTATGGGGGTTGGGGACACAGCGGCACCAGCTGGGGTGGTGACAGGGGGTTTCTAGTGTCCTGATGCCAGGCAGAGAGAGATGATAGGGATTGTGAAATGCCCAAAGGGAGATGGTGGCCTTCCTGGAACCTTCTCATGCCTTCGGGAATATGGAGTCTGAGAATAGGTGGGAGCGGAGGGGAAACGGAGGAGCCAGAGGGCACTGGGGAAGGCCCGGATTCAGGGCACCACCCCTAAAGAAGTCGCTTCCCTCTTTACGTTTAGAGTGAAAGAGAGAGGGACCTGAGAAGGTCCCTCAGGGCAGACCGGGAGCCAGCCTCCCACACCACACAAACCTCCCTCCGTCTCGCCCCGCCCTCTGATTCCACTTCCCAATTACAGGGCAAGCCGATTGGTTCATTAATCACCACCTCCTCATTGAAGAGTTTATTAACTTGTTCATTAGTGGGGAGGGTGTCTCAGCCCTCGATCAATGGGCTCAGTTACCCCCCCACCCACACACCCGCCACCATCATTGACCCATGACTCAGTTGCTATTAGACATGTCTGGGAGGTGGGGGGACTGATATTCATAAAAGGAGAAACTACAAAATAATGGTTATTGTAGACTTGCGGCCAGCTCTGCCTCCAACCTGTCCTCAAAGGGTAGTGGGGGCAGAACCACTGGGGTTGCCTTGATCCCCGTTCCCAGAATACCTAGCAAGGCCACTCCAGGGATCAGGGAGGCCAGGAACTTGGACCCCAGCTGAGCAGTCCCCTTACCCAGTGGGCTCAAGGGTCACTCATCAAGATAAGATGACCCGTGCCATGCATCCCCAGAGGCTTAGCATTCTGTACCCCACCGCACCACGCACCCACTGTCCCCCACTTTCCCCCACACAAAGGCTCTCTGTGATATACCACATCCTGGGCAGTGCTAGACCACTGCCTTCCACCCTCACCAAGACCTCAGGCCCAAGGTCCTAGGGACAGCAAGTTGCCATGCAGTAAGAGAGAGTCAATCCTCATTCAACAAGCCCTTATTAAGCCCCTCCTCAGTGGCAGGCACCATGACGAGCACAGAGGACAGAGCAGTGAACCAAAAGGCAAAATCCTTGCCCTAATGGAACTTACATTCTAGAGGCGGGAAATACAAAATCAGTAAATAGACAAGAAAGCGTGGAGCAGGTCTGATTATGAGAGGTGCTATAGGAAAAAGTCAGGGTAAGGGGGATAAAGAGTCCTGGGGTGTACAGGGCTTACTTTATGTTGGGGGGTTAGAGAAGGCCTCACCTATAAGATGGCATTTGAAGGAATGCCTACCTTCTTTCTACCTTGGGAAGAATGTTCCAGGTGGGGGAAAGAGCAAGTGCAAAGGCCCTGAGGTAGGAGTGTTCTTGGCAGTTTGAGGAGGGCAAGGAGGCCCATGTGGCTGGAGTGCAGTGAGCAGTGGGGCTGTGAGAAGGAGAGATCAGGGACGCAGGAGGGGACTGGATTATGTAGGGCCTTGTTGCCTGCTATGAGGACTCTGGCTTTTGTTCAGAATGACATGAGAGCTTCAGTGCAAGGAGTGACATGGTGCGACTTAGGTGCTTTTTTTTTTTTTTAAGATTTTATTTTACCTTTTAAGTAATCTCTGCACCCAATGTGGGGCTCCGACCCACAACCCTGAGACCAAGAGCCACACACTCCACCCACTGAGCCAGCCAGGCACCCCCTGACTTGGGTTTTGAAGGAAGCATCCTGGCTGCTGTGTTGAGAATAGACTGGAGGGCAAGGTCAGAAGCAGGAAGGCCCTGGGGCTCCTGGGTGGCTCAGTTGGTTAAGCGTCTGAGTCTTGGTTTGGGCTCAGGTCATGATCTCGAGGTTCACATTGGGCTCTGTGCTGACAGTACAGAACCTGCTTGGAATTCTCTCTTCCCCTCTCTCTCTCTCTGTCCCCCCTCTGCTTGCTCTCTCTCTCAAAATAAATAAATAAACTTTAAAAAGGGGCGGGGGTGCATTGCCTGGGTAGCTCAGTCGGTTAAGCATCTAACTTCAGCTCAGGTCATGATCTCACGGATTGGGAGTTCAAGCCCACATCGGGCTCTGTGCTGACAGCTCAGAGCCTGGAGCCTGCTTCGGATTCTGTGTCTCCCTCTCTCTCTGTCCCTCCCCCGCTCACACTCTGTCTCTCAAAAATAAATAAATAAATAAATAAAACATTTTAAAGAAGAAGAAGAAAGAAAAGAAGAAGGAGGAGGAGGAGGAGGGGGGAGGAGGAGGGGGAGGGGGGAGGCGGAGGAGGGGGGAGGAGGAGAGAAAACAGGGAAGCCAGTCAAGAACCTGCTGCAATAATCCAGCTATGACTCGATGGTGTCATGGATACACACACACACACACACACACACACACTCCCCATAGGTGTACATTCCCCATGACTTGCAATTATGTCCGGACAGTGCTGACAACCTTTCATCTAGCCAAGAAAGTCCCCTGGAGGAGACAGCAGAAAATCAATGGGTGCCAACAGTAGCTAGGCAGTGGACCTGTCTGCTCTCTGATTTTTAAGGCTCCTCATTATTAGTCCATGTGAAACTCTCCGTGTCACCTTGATGACTAGCCGTAGCCCAGGAAAACATTGGCTACCATGATGGTGCTTATCGAAATGCAAGCTTGTTCGTTTTGTCACGAGTGTAAATGTCCTGTTGCCTAAAAACACTCTGGCTCTTGGCCAGAGTCAAGGCGTGAAGCTGTCACACCTTGGATTCTGGTTAGATCTAGGGGGTGGGTTGGGGAGGTAGTAATGGCAAGAAAGAAAGGATTTTCACTTCTTACGACAGGAGTGCTCCTAGGAGAGCTTCCCTTACCCAGAGTTGTTGGTCCTTCTATAAAACGCAGCGACAGATGCCTGTGGCATGGTGGATTCCCAAGACCCAGGCTTCTCTCTGGAACAGGTATCAGCAAAGTCTCTCTGTAAAGGATCAAACAGTAAATATTTTAGTCTCTGTTCAGCGGTTCAACTTGGCTACTGTAGCACAAAAGCAGCCATAAAACTATGCAAAAGAAACGAGCGGGCGTGGCTGTGCTCCAATGACACTTTATGTGTGGATATTAAAGATTGAATTTCACGTCATTTTCGCGTCATGAAATATTCTTCGATTGTTTTTTCCAACCGTCTAAAATGTAAAAGCATCCATTGTGAGACCATTTGTACTCAGGACGTAACCGAAACAGACCCGCGGGACCACAGTTTGCCGATCCTGTGGTCTCAAAAAGCAGGTACTTCAGTTGCCCCCGCCCCGGGGTTGAGTTGCTTGTTTACCAAGACTCGGCTGGATCTCGAGCCTCTTTCAGCCAGGTATACTTGTCACTGTAATCCTATAATCACATAATCCTATTACCGTGTAATTCAATTAAATATTACACAAACTAATGAAATGTGATGCGCTCACTTGAAAGAGTCACTTCCTTGAAAACTAAGTTGGGGGCTTTGAAAAGGCTGAACGGAGAATTGCCGAAATGTTGAATTAGGCTCCGGCCGCTGCCCAGAAGGCCTGTGCACACCCCCCCTCCCACCGCATAAATGCTCCTGTTCCTGGGGATGAGCCCCCGGCCTGAGTCCGGAACGTCTCGGGGACCTACAGTCACAGGAGGCCTGTGCTGCTGGTACAGAAACTCGGGTCCTGAAAGTGACGTGATTCTGGGAAGAAGCAATTCTAAC